GCGCGGGGTCGGCCGCAGCTTTGGGAGGATAGCGGGGGGTTCTGCTTGGGGGAACGGCCTGGGAAATCTCCTCTGCAAGGAGGTTTGGGAGTTCCAGGAGGTTTGGGAGTTCCAGGAGGTTTGGGAGTTCCAGGAGGTTTGGGAGTTCCAGGCTTTGGGAGTTCCAGGAGGTTTGGGAGTTCCAGGAGGTTGGGGACTGCAGGGAACCTCAGACTCCAGCAGATTCTGTTCTGGGATTTAGCAAAATGGTTGGGGGAACCGCCTGGGAAATCCCGCTCAGCATCCCTCTGCAAGGAGGTTTGGGAGTTCCAGGCTTTGGGTCTGCAGGGAACCTCAGACTCCAGTGCGTTCTGCTCTGGGATTTGGGAAAATGGGAATTCTGGATGGGAGAATTGCCTGGGAAATCCCGCTCAGCGTCCATCTGCAAGGAGGTTTGGGAGTTCCTGGTTTGGGACTGCAGGGAACCTCAAACTCCAGCAGATTCTGTTCTGGGATTTAGCAAAATGGTTGGGGGAACCGCCTGGGAAATCTCCTCTTGCAAGGAGGTTTGGCAGTTCCAGGAGGTTTGGGAGTTCCTGGTTTGGGGACTGCAGGGAACCTCAGACTCAAGCAGTTTCTGTTCTGGGATTTGGCAAAATGGGAATTCTGCTCGGGGAAATCGCCTGGGAAATCTCCTCTGCAAGGAGGTTTGGGAGTTCCAGGAGGTTTGGGACTGCAGGGAACCTCAGACTCAAGCAGATCTGCTCTGGGATTTAGGAGAATGGGAATTCTGCTTGGGGGAATTGCCTGGGAAATCTCCTCTGCAAGGAGGTTTGGGAGTTCCAGGAGGTTTTGGGAGTTCCTGGTTTGGGGACTGCAGGGAACCTCAGACTCCAGCACGTTCTGCTCTGGGATTTGGGAAAATGGGAATTCTGGTTTGGGGAATCGCCTGGGCAATCTCCTCTGCAAGGAGGTTTGGGAGTTCCTGGTTTGGGGACTGCAGGGAACCTCAGACTCCAGCAGATTCTGCTCTGGGATTTGGGAAAATGGGAATTCTGTTTGGGGGAACCGCCTGGGAAATCTCTGCAAGGAGGTTTGGGAGTTCCTGCCACCTCCTGACCCCCTAAAAAAAGGCTTTTTTTTCCTCTACCACCTCCTGACCCCCTAAAAAAGCGTTTCCCCCCTCTGCCACCTCCTGAACCCCTAAAAAAAGGCTTTTTTCCCCTCTGCCACCTCCTGACCCCCTAAAAAAGCTTTTTCCCCCTCTGCCACAGCCCGTCCCCGGCGCTTTCCCCTCGCCACCGTCGCCCCACAACGAGCCGCCTCCGGAGCCCCGTAACAGCCCCACGGCGCACGGGCCGCGCGAATCCCGGGACCGGCCGGCCGGGAACGGCCGCGGGCACCTTCGAGGTCCAGCTTGACGACGCCGGTGTCGTCCTCCAGCTCGTTGGTGACCTCGCACTCGTAGCGGCCGTAGTCCTGCAGGGTGACGTTGCGGATGATGAGCGACGCGTCGCCCGCGCCGTCCTCCTGCAGCTCCGTGCGGCCGCGGTAGGGCCCGAAGGCCCGGCGGGCCTTGCCCAGAGCCACGAACACGTCCACGAAGGTCATGGGCTCCGTCACTTTGGTCCACTTGAGGCGGATCTCGGCCGGGTCGTGCGCGGACACGTCGTAGTGGTAGCGGCAGGGCAGGATGATGGTGCCGCCGCGGTGGGTCACCACCTTGCCCGGCGCCGTCTGCACCACCACGGCGCCGCTGTCACCCTCTGCGGGACGGACGCGGTCACGGAGAGGCTCCCGAGTGGGGTGGGAGCGTGGGGATCCCCTCCTTGAGGGGCACGGAAGGGTGGG